TGTGAAACGCAGCGTTTTGCAGCTGTGGTGTTCAGAGAAAGTTTACAGTTGTGGTGTTTTTAGAGCTGAAATAACGTCAATGTGTTTAATTTTAAAGCTGAAATGTACGTCTGTTATGTGACAAAGTTAATTAAGCTGTGAAAAGCGTTTGATTCAGTTTAAACATACAGGGGGTTCTGCTCAGACCCGGTTTGTCGCTCAGTTCTGATAAGATCGAACGAGTTGTTTTAAATGGATGGAGAGATCACAAAGTTTGTTTTCTCAGTCATCCAGGTATATAACAACAAAAAAGGTTGAATCATGTCATCTGGACTTTGACATTTTTTTTTTTTTTTTTTTTTTCAGGGGTATCTGAGGCAGGCTTGAAACACAAGAGTCAGGGTGGCTTCTGGATAATACCAGATGGCTAGGCCTCAGACTGACGAAGCCTCTTGGATGAGGGGCGAAACGTTTCTTTTTAACAAAAAAACGAAGTCCAGATGACAGGATGGAGAGATGTTTTAAAAAGCTGAGCGCCGTCTCAGAACACAGTTAAGAGTTTGTTCGTCACATTTGGAGCAGAAAATTATACATTTTGAGAAGTTAATGGACGAAAGTTGACCGGACTTTTCAGGCTAATCGCTAACAGCTAGCTAGAATGACGATCCGTCATTGGTTGAAAACCGCTGTTTGGGTAGCTCTGATTCGCTGAGTGACGAGTGACGTGTCTGTCGTCACTTCCTCTGATGTCAGATTATAAAACCCACCCCCGTTGCTGTCTCTGATGATTGGTTGATTCAGTCACGTGACCCCAGAAATGAGTCTCGGTTCAACCGAAGCCTCCACTGTGTTTAAAATCGCTAAATGGAGCCGCCACATGTCCCACAAAACTCATGTTTCATGCAAAAAAGTCGTGCTTGTTGAAACAACGCCACGTTTTAGCTTTAAATCCGTTCAGAAATGTTGATTTGACCGAGTTTCGCTGATGCTAATTTTAAGCTAAGCAGCTAACAACCGGATATCAACAGAACGATCCACAGAAAGTTGTCATAGACTCCTGCTGGCATAAATAAGCTTACACCGCCACCTGCTGTTGAAAGAGGAGTATAACAGTTTTCCTGAGAGGGACTGATAAGCTCCTCATAATTATTTTTCTTTTCACCCAACCTGGTTTATTCGAGTAACTGTTAAAATAGCGAATTTCTGGGATAAAACTGCTTAAAAAGCGTTTAAAAAACTAAAGTTGCTGTGAGACTTTTAGAAAAATTGCAGGTTTATTTAATGTTAAGTGCTTTAGAGTAAATAACACTGAGAAGCTTGGTAATCTAGTATCTGTTAAAAAATAAGCACATTAAAAAAGTAACACTGCCAGAGGCATTTACTTAAAAATTTTCATGCATTGGGGTAAAACCTACGAATAGGTGCCCATTCATTTGAAGAAGTGGCTTACACAGTACTGTTGAGTGAACCCAGAGCTAAAAATGTGTGAAACTCACATGACACTTGAATACAAATATTTACCTGTTAAAATAATCTGAAGTTGGCAACTGTTTAACCAGATAAGTGCTGAACAGTGAATAACCATGGCAGATG